GCACTGGATGATGTATGAAAGTGTCTAATTACTATATTGTACACCTGAAATGAATATAACACTGTATGTTAACTACACTGGAATTAAAATTAAATTAAATTAAATAAAAAATTTTAGATCTGCAGGTTTTGCATTCATTAAGCATTTCTGTAAGCCCTTACTGTATGTCAGGCAGTGCTCGAGATACTGGGGACCCAAAGATGAAGAAAATATAAAAAGATCCGGGCCCTGAAAGAGCTTACTCCAGTTGAGGGGACAAATGTAATTTTTTAAAATACAGTTTTGTACATGTTCTAGCAAAAAGAAATAAAATAAAATGCTAAAATGCATACTCCTGGGCTCCACCGCAGAGATTCTGAATCCACTGATCAGAAATGAGATCCAAGAAAGGTCTCTTGACTACTACAGGGTATTCTAGTGCAAGTTACCTCAGGCCACACTTGGGCACAGAATGCTCTAGATCATGGGTGGGGCTGAGCCAATGGTCCCAGCAAGAGGACTTTGCAGGGCTTAACAGCCAAATGCAGAATGTCTTGGTCAATTAGATTTGATTAATTGATGGAAACATTTCAGTGGTAAGATAGAAAAGTATCAAGTCATACTTGCTACTGGTGGGCTCTGACACTGGGTCACACACAGTTCAGCTTTGACAATTTATCCTCTTTGGCACAGCAAGTCAACTGTTTTAAAAAACCTACCCTAAGGACACAATCAGGTTATATTCTAAACACTAGTAGGATTACAGAAATTATTTAAGAGTTCTGAATAAATAAGAAGAGGATGAAGCTACTCTTAATTACTTTTCCTTAGAATGTTGGCTAGGGGTAGAGAACACTAAAGGAAAGAGAGCTCCACTCTGTGTCCCTCAGATTCAGGCACTGTTTTGCAAATATTTTCTGGTTACCATGGCAACTTCTGTATGTCTCTGCGTAAATGGGAAATTGGGAACCTCATTTGAAAAAAATGATTAGTGTGTTCTTTTTATCCTGGTAAGCTCGTTCTGTGCTGACAAATTATATTCTGACAGCTAGGTTGTAATCTAAAACATACTTTTTTAGAGGCTCTGAATAATAAGGTGTTTCCAGTGATTGATAGTCTTCCTTTATATTTTTATGTATTTGCTTTCAATGAATTCAAGAGATAAACTGAGTGCTAAATACTTGCTATACTTTTTAAATAACTCAGAAATATGTCCTCCCTTGAAAAAGTTGACATATGTCAGTTTGATTATTGTACTTATGAGATGTAATAAAAGGAAAAAGCACAAGCTTCTAAATCAGTCAGACTTGAAGCTGAACCGTGGCCCTGACATTTGCTAGTTAGTTGTGTGACCTTGGGCAAGTAGTCTAACTCTTTGAGCCTCAGTTTCTATCTATAAAATAAGAATCAAAAATAACATATACATGTAGAAAGTGTCCACAACAGTGCCAAGTCTATTGAGCAGGTTCTTGATGTAACAAGTAGCTACCACTACCAAAGAAAAAATAAAAAGCAAGCACAGAAACATCCAAAACCTATCAGACTTGGTTTAAAAGAAATCGGGCTTGGGGCGCCTGGGTGGCTCAGTTGTTAAGTGTCTGCCTTCGGCTCGGGTCGTGATCCCAGGATGCTGGGATCAAGCCCCGCATCGGGCTCCCCGTTCAGTGGGAGGCCTGCTTCTCCCTCTCCCACTACCCCCTGCTTGTGTTCCCTCTCTCGCTGTCAATCTCTCTGTCAAATAAATAAATAAAATCTTTAAAAAAAAAAAAAGAAATTGGGCTTTACATAGAAAAAAAATGAATAAATAAAAAAATAATGCACAACCAACATTATTAGGATTGAACTTTGTCAGGTTTTAGCTATTTATGATACTATTATTAGATACTCAGCAGTAATAGGAGAAGTCTGTTGGAATTCTGTAAGGTGGTAGAACATGACAGATACTCTGGCACAAAGAAGTTTAAAGTCCTCAAAACTTTAGAAAACAATAATCTGAAAATATGCCATCAGCTAAAGTTAATGCATAACTTTGAAATATCAAATAGCCAAGCTTTTAAGCTAATAGAGGTCATGGTGAACCAGGGCAGGAGCCCTCCCTCTGTAACCCATTCAAGATGAGAGAATATAATTGTGAGGGGAAGGCCTAGGTTTCTGTAGGCATGAGTCACCTCTGGAGGAAGGTTAGCATCGTGGCAGGGACAGGTTTCTCTATTTGTTTTCCAATAGCATTTACAAATTTACTTTTTCTCTCTTTCATGTTCTGTTGGTGGCCAGGACTCAGTTATATCCTGTATCTCTAGGTTTGCTCTTTATTAAACTGTGTATGGAGAATCAGGATTTTTAGTAGGGCATTCTAAATCTTTTGTCATTATCTCCCTAATTCTGAACCCGCTTTTATTTCTTAAGCTTCAATTATGACAAATAAGATCACGGTGGATGATCACATGAGCAATTAATGTTGAAGCAAAACACAAATGCAAAACATTGGAAAGCAAAACAAGATATTTGGAAATTAAGAAACACATAAAACTTTCTTTAAATGAAAATAATAATTTCAAGGTTCTTAAATCCATGTTACATGTGGCACATAAACTCAACCTATATACGTTAGTCTATTGGAAAGCATTCATGCAGAACTGGTAAAAAACAGCAAAACTAAGGATTCAGAATAACAGATGACAGCACCATGCTTTCACTATCTGAATTTGGTTTCCATTTATTCATGTTATATCTAAGGCAGTACATTCTGGAAAGTAGAAATGGACAGGAAGAAAAAATCATTTGATAGAGATTTTCTCAGACTTCTTATCCTCCCAGCTTACTAACCTCACCCACTGCTTGTTATCAGAGACAAGGTAAAACATAGAACTCAGGAAGCATGGTTTAAAAAGGAAAGTGCCAAGAATATACAATGGGGAAAAGACAATCTCTTCAATAAATGGTGCTGGGAAAAGTGGACGGCTACATGCAAAAGAATGAAACTGGACCATACACAAAAATAAACACAAAATGAATTACAGACCTAAATGTGAGACCTAAAACCATAAAACTCCTAAAAGAAAACACAGGCAGTAATCTCTTGGACATTGCCCTTAGCAACATATTTATGGATATGTCTCCTCAGGAAAGAGAAACAAAAGCAAAAATAAACTATTGTGACTACACCAAAATAAAAAGCACAGCAAAAGAAACCATCCACAAAACAGAAAGGCAACCTAGTGAATGGGAGAAGATATTTGCAAATGATAAATCTGATAAGAGGTTAATATCCAAAATACATAAAGAACTGACACAGCTCAACACCCAAAAAAACAAATAACCCAATTAAAAAATTGGCAGAAGACATGAACAGACATTTCTCCAAAGAAGACATAGAGATGGCCAACAGACACATGAAAAGATGTTCATCAGTTACCATCAGGGAAATCCAAATCAAAACTACAATGAGACATCACCTCCCACCTGTCAGAATGGCTAGTATCAAAAAGACAAGAAATAACAAGTATTAGCAAGGATGTGAAGAAAAGGGAACCCTTGTGCACTGTTGGTGGGAATGCATACTGGTGCAGCCACTGTGGAAAACAATATGGAGGTTCCTTGAAAAATTAAAAATAAAACTACCATACGATCCAGTAATTCTACTACTGAATATTTACCCAAAGAACACAAAAACACTAATTCAAAAATAATAGGCATCCCTATGTTTATTGCAGCATTATTTATAATAGCCAAGATACGGAAGCAACTCAAATGTCCACCAGTGGATGAATGGATAAAGAAGATGTGGTATATAGAAGCAATGGAATATTACCAGCCATTAAAAAGCCACTTGCAACAACATGGATAAACCTAGAAGGCATCATGCTAAGTGAAATACGTCAGACAGAGAAAGACAAATCCTATGTGATCTCGCCTATATGTGGAATCTAAAAAACAAAACGAACAAACAAAACCAAACAGACTCTTAAATACAAAGAACAAGCTGGTAGTTGCCAGAGGTGAGGTAGATGAGGATGGGTAAAATGGGTAAAGGGGATTAAGAGGTACAAACTTTCAGTTATAAAATAAATCAGTCACAGAGATGAAAAGTACCGCATAGGGAGTATAGTCAGTAATACTGTAGTAACATTGCATGGGGCCAACGGTGACCACCTCATGGTGGCAAGCACTGAATAATGTATAGACTTGTCAAATCACTATGTTGTACGCCTGAAACTAATATAACATCGTATGTTAACTATACTTCAATTAAAAAAAAAAAAAAGGAAGTGCCAGTGTTAATGGTAAGCTGTTCATTTGGGGGACTGTTCCCACACCACCCCCACACCCATTCTTTTACTTCAGTGTCGCTGGGTGAGAGCTTTGTGATGCTCCATCTTCAATCAGTAACTGGTTAGGGTCAGGGCCTCTGACCACGCTTAGTCAGTCCTGACTCCTGTCTAGGGTTTCCAGGTGAAATACAGGCACCCAATGAGCTCCAATGTTAGATTAACAATAAGTAAGTTTTAGTATAAATACATTCCAAATATTGCACTGAGGCATTCTTACTACACCCCATGGCGTAGACATGCAGATCTGCCAACAACAGCCGCACATACAGCACTTCTCATGTTCCATGTATTGTTCTAAATGCCATATAAATATTAATTTCCTAAATACATGAAAATATATGGATCCGTAAACATGCGCCAATATTTGGAGGATCTGAGGTTAGGAATAATGAACTGTGTATTTTTAAATTTCAAAAATTATGCAAAAATTCCTATGATTAAAACATTTAAGGAGTTTCCATTGGTTATCTGCAAACTAATTTGTAGAAAATTGAAAATATCAAAGGTACCAGTCTAGAGATGCTTCTTAACTAAGCTGAATGACCCTGGGAAAGTCTCAGTTCTCTGAATCTAGAATTTCTTACCTGTGACATGAAATCTGGATGAGATTGTCTTTGAGGTTGTTCTGTCCCTAAAATTCTATTAGATCTTATAATATGGAAAAGCAGCTTGCGGAGAAAAGTTTATTACCTCAGCAATCATTCTGTTGGTGTCTCCTAAGAAGAGCAGATTTAGAGCTTCTTCCTCTGTGGCTGCCTGATGGAGAGACAGGTTTTTCAGGTGAATGTTCTGATCAGGGTCCTCGAATATTGTCACTTTCCTAGGGAAATGGGAAGCAACAAAACAAGGGACTTTGAGAATGAAAAGAACTGAAGTCTTCTTACAGGTTTATTTTTAAAAAGCTGTAGAGTACTACATCTTGAACTTATAAAATCAAACAATACACAAGACGCTGTACAGTACTGGATACACATCAAAACACTGACGTTCCCTTGACAGTACTATTAAATAGTCTGGGGGCTGAAAAGTATATCACAATCTCCTGATTCAAGGCCATCTGTCTTTGCAATCGTCAGATCACTAAATCATACATATTCTTGCCGAATTAAAAATGCAAATAGATAACCTTCTACCTATATATCAGGGAAGTCGGCTACATTGTTTTTTCTCTGTCTAATTCAGCTTCTTACATAGGTAAGGCACTAATTCTTCTTCTAATTTTTCCCTTTTGTTCAATTTCATATCACTTTCAATTTACATGACCTTTCAAACTGGTTAGCTCATCAATTTAAACATGCTAGAAACTGAAGTATCTGTCATCCTTCCAGGAGTTATTGCCTTGTCTAGTTTTCTTATCAAGATGAGTTTTAAAATTATAATAAAGTTTTAGTTTGTCATTATTATTTTTACGTCCATCAAATGTGTTTCTTAATCCTTTTTTTTTTTACGTCATATCTTTTCCCTCCATTACATCCTTATGGTCAAAGCTTTAGGTCTGGAATTACATTCATCTATTACAACTGCCTTCATGGGATGCCAACATCATTTCCTCCCCAAGTGAATCTTAACTCTGTTTCCAGAGTTGGCTTGTCAATACTCTCCTTGGAGTCTTTTTAGGACTTTCTGCAACTGAATACAATGTGAACTCCTTATACTCTGCTTCAAAGGCCCACCAATTCAACCAATAAAATTACTAAAGAGAGTTCCCTTCTGACTCTTGAGTGTGCCTCCTTGATTTTCTTAAGAATTGTTAAGGAAAGAAAATCTTATAATTCACTAGTATTGCCAAAAATTACCTCGGTATATCAGCACTTGCTTAAGGCATTTGGGATCCATGATAAGGGCATCATCTAGCATTATTTCTCCTTTAAACGTACAAATAGCCAATGGACGTGTGTCACTTGTCTATTTATAAAAACACATTTAGAATACCTTAAAAATAGAGATTTTGCAAGTATCATTTTTTGTCATCCTTCCCTTTGGTAAAGAGGTTATCTGGGCTTTCATATGTAGTTTGTGGGTAAGATAATAATTGACGGAAGAAAATGTAGCTCTACCACAGCACATCTGTGGCCAATATGTCACTAATAATGTAGTCCTTTGCCAAGTTTTGGACTCCTTTTTGTCTCCTTCAACAATACCAACTAAGATGGAAAAAGATCTCTTCCCTTAATGAAAACAAGTGTATTTTATTTATTTTTCAACAAGACTCATAAGTGAGCTTATTAAAAACGCTTAAGAGTTGAAAAATGCTTGGAAAACATGAAGGCATTTTTAACTGAAATGGATGAATTGTGTTCTATTTTTAGGAACCCTCTCTATTCCTTAAACTTTAGATCCACCCTGACTTTCTAAAGTGCTCGAGAAGGTTTAGCTAAATTCAATCACTAGGGACACAGAAGTCAGAATGCTTCCTAAATCCACAGATTCTGGGTGCAGGAAATTAAGTAATACTGGAAGGAAGATGAAAACAGGAAACAAGTGAGGAGATGGTACATTCAAAGTGAAAATAGAAGAGAGTTCTTTTTCAACACAGAGCTAACAATGAATTCTCCAACTCTGAGGCCAAGTCATCTGTGATACATGTTGAACCACCAAGCCAGAGACAGCATTATCTTGTGCAAGTTCAGAAAAGGGGGAGGCTGGGGGAGCAGGAAATGATTCAAAGAAGAGAATGCTCATGCTCTTTGGGCACCCAAAGGGTGCCAGGCACCAGCATTGTTTCCTTTAATCCAGTTGTTCTCACCTTGGCTGCACACCGGAACCATCTGTGGAACTAAAAGCAAACAATAAAAGGCTGATGCTGGGTCCCGTCCTAAGAGATTTTAATGTGATGGTTCTGGGGGCCTGGTCTGGGTATCAGAATTCACAAAAACTCCAAGTGAGTCTAGCGTACAGTCAAGATTGAAAGCCACTGAATTCATCTTTAATAACCCTACAAGGTAGATACATGGGGTGGAGATTTCTGGCTTCTTTATCTTTACTTTCCACCTAGTTCCACCCCATGCCCAAAGGGGAAAATTGCTCATCTTATGGGTTGCAGGAAGTTACTCTTGAACTACACCTACTAATAGGCAAGGTCACTGTGAATTTTAAAAAGCTAGTCTTTTCTCGGGAAGTTTCTTGTCTACTCCCTGACTTCCCATACAGCTGATGGGTCAACTAAGTCACCCATCAGCCACAGCAGTAACTAATGCTCAACTGGGGATTATGATCTACCTACACATCCATATGGTTTTTAACATTACCAAATCAAAGAAACCTAAGTGCTGGTAGGGACTCAACATACATACATCTCTCACCATTACTTCACTGAAATAAGAAATGCAGAAAACAAGCAGGTTTGGAATTCTGAAAGTGTTCATTTGTTAGACAGCCTAAATGGGTCACTGATATGGGATTATATTTACATAGAATAGTTAGAAGCATAAGGTGGAAAGTGTGAAATGTCATCAGAGGCATTTGGCTAAGCTACTTCTTTCTTCTAAATCACTGAGAACCTTTGATCTCCAGTGTGGCTACTTCAGAACTACTACACTTCTATATTTACTTCCAGGTCCTTGCCCAGCTTTGTCACTTTGATCAAAATACAATTTGCACATGCCCCCAGTTTTTCTGTCTAGAACTCTCAGCTGTCTTTTGTGACCCATTCCTATGCATCTCTCTGATGCTTTTCTGATATTATGTTTCCCTCACAATTGTCTGATTTCTTGCCCATGGAGGTTTTGAAAAGTAAATAAAACAGCAGGTTGGCGTCCAATTTAGTTTGGCTTCTTTCATGGTTCTCTACTTAGGGCTCATCTGTGGCCACCCTGTAAAAGGCTCTACCTCTGGCATCCTTCTGGAATCTTCTGTGGTGCAACTTTCTCTCTCCAGTCAGGATCTCCCTTACCAGTTCTTCTCCTCAGATTCTTCCCTGGTTTCTGCCCAATCCCTTGGGCATGAGGCTTTGTACTTCCTTCATAGCCCTGCCTGCCTTCACTGAAAATCCCTTTTGTACTAAGCCTGACAGCCAATATGTCAGCCCCACCCACTCTCATGCCTTTCCTCACAGAAGCCCAGCCTGAGCCATGCCCTGAGTACTAACTCTTGCCTAGGTGGGCTAATCTGAGAGTGAGAATGTTTTAAACTTTGCTGCTGGTGGAATGCGTTTTCAAAGGTGGGGGAAATAAGAACCATTAGCAAAAGTTTCTCATCAAGTTGCTTCATTCCTTGGCCTTTTCTTTTTCTCTCTCTCTCTCTCACAAATCAATAGCTATTTCCTGAATCCTTAGTCCGCCACTCAATTCTGACTATAATTTTCATGGGCTTGAAAGAGGGCTTTATTAGAGTTTCTTAAATAAACATCCTAATTCCAAGATGGAAACCCCCCAAACTATTTATTTGATTCTTTTTGAAAGGGCTTGTGAATAGTTTTCCCTACAAAATGTTTCTAAAATGTTTAGATTTCAAGCAAAAAGTCACTGATAGCCTTAACTTGGACACCTAAGTGGAAAAGTTCTGCTAAGTATACTCGGCCTGCTTAATGATGGGGAAGAAGCGGGCTTTGTGTTTTCTCTGTAAACAGAGAATCTTTTCCATTTGGCTAAGTAGTTGGAATTTGTAGACTCTTTCTAACTGGCTGGAAGACAGAGAAAGAGCAATAGCCAAGCTCTTGTTCTCAATAACGGAAGCCATCAATGAAAGAACCCTCCCCTCCCCACACCCTACCTCCACAACATTCCAATACCACCAACTTGCTGAACAGGAACTTTCCAGGAGTTACTGCAATGAATCTGGTTTCTCATTTACATGTTGTAAACACGTGTTGCCATGGTGCTGGGTTTTTTTTCCCCTACTTGCAAATGCCCCCTGTGATTATGCAGGCACCCTGCACAATGGCACCATGTCCAAGGGGGTGCAATTCACATCATAAGTTTGTATATTTATTATGAAAAAATGTCTGTCAGAGGGCAGTAAAGCATCTTCTAACAAAACTAGCATATCACAACAGTTTTCCAACAGATGGCAGGGGCGCCTTTTAATAATTCACAGGAAGGTGCTATCCAGAATAGAAGTAACCCTGTCTAGTTAGTTACCTTGACTCAGAAATATCAATAGCAGGCCGGCCTCATGAAAATGGAAGGGGATCCAGTCAGGTTCTTCTAAATAAATGGATATGTTTCACATGTTGTAAACACAGTCACACTATTCATTTTAATGAAGAAAATACTCTTTCATTCAGTGGTTTCAACGTCCTTTTTTTTTTCCCCACCCCAACACACATTCTCAGAAGCTCTTCATGGTAAAGATTTGAGAAAAGGGAAGCGGCAAATTTTTAGGAGACATGTAAGGGGAACCATCCTTCCTGCATTTAAATAGTTTTAAAGTTAGATTTTCTTCAGATTGACTAAAAATCTAAGAGATGTCCTCTGTTATATAAAAAATTAGAACATCCCTGGAAGAGGTTTTACAAATCTATAATCCATTTTTATATTGGTCTTAATCTAGACAGAATGGACTAAAAGTAATGGATATTTTTTCTATTTATTGAAAATTTTTTCTAGTAGATTGAAAAACATATCTTTTCTTTATAGTTTTATCTAATATTGTATCTTTTTACTGATAATGAAGAATCTAATCAATCACATGACATTTTAAAAAGTAAGTTATTTAATTTCACCTACTAAAAATACCAGTTTCTCTAGCAAATATTTAAGGAATCGATTATATCAATTCTCAATAATCTCTTTCAGAGGAAAGAAGCAGAAGAACTATTTCCTAATTCATTTTATGAGGTCAGCATTACTTAATGCCAAAAATATACAAAGACATTGCAAG